GGCGGCGGGCGGCGGGCGGCGGGCGGCGGCCAGTACGCAACTGTTGGCGTTACGGTCGGAACAGTAAGTGCAACTAATTTGTTTCCAACTTTGTTCCAAACTGTTTCTGCGAATGAATATATTTCCACGTTCTGTTTTATTTACACTAATCGTGTTTGTACCTACGTGTGTAAACTGTGGACACATTTCTTTAGTTTAAGAGCAATATGAAGGTTGCACGCATGCTGCACTACTGGTACACTACTACTGGCACCCAGATAGGTATTAACATAATCTTTAAATGAATACAGCACAGTTATTTTTAGGGTAATACTTATTAGAAAAGGTTTGGCTTTCAAAACAATCTTCATTAAAACTGTGTATTCCATTTCAGAGTTCGTTGCAGAATTTCATGATGAATTGAAATCATGATGATATTGATCATCTCTCATACAGAGAGCTTCATCATGCACCGATATAGCATTCATCTGCTGGGTAAATATCCGTGTCGATGATCGTCCCGGGCCGGGCCGGGGGCGGCCGGACGGCCGGTAAATCGCTTTAAATATCCATTACTCACGGACATGCATTTTATAACGGCTCGGCATAAAAAATGTTATTGACGTCATAAAGCGATAGTCAATATTGAGTCCGGTGTCCGGCCCCGGCCCGGAATGTGCCGATTTATCGCCGTCTCTCGTCAATCCGTGCTCGACTTTAGTTGGTATAAAGTCGCGCTTTTCTTTTTACGTGTAGTGTCGCAGTGGGTCGTTGTTTGTCGAGCACACGGTGGCCGGTGTGCCGGTGTGACCACATCTAATATTGACGTGTGTACACTTCTTGTTGCTCACATCGTGGCTTGTTCTTTTTGTCACACATAGACGGAAATGACCCACAATCTTTATAACGTGCAAACTAGAGACTAGAGTTATATAGATATAACAGACAATAAATTATTTCCATTTTCTAATTTTGTGATTATATATTTTTATTTACTGTAGAAACAAGTTTTGAAATCTTGCAAAACTGAAGAAGCTAACGGAATATTCTTAGAAACGTTATTTCAACGCAAATTGAGTTTATTTCGTCGGAGGCATAAAGCGAGTATGTGCCGTAGTTAGCATAATGTAGTCACAGAGTGTAGTCGCCTAGTCGCTACAGTACAAGAGTACAGCACTAGGAGACAGCCATGTGACTAGCAACTATACGACGTGACTATATTCTCTTAAAACCCTATCCTTTGCTAAAATTTGCTTTTCCACACCACCATATTGCATACATAACATAACATCACGCCTTTTTATCTCCGAAGGGGTAGGCAGAGGTTCACATTTCGGCACTTAATGCCACTGTACAATTAACAATTAGTAACAACCACTTTTCATTATTTATGTTATGAGTCCCATGTAATAGGCGGTGAGCCTATTGCCATATAGGTACTTTCCAGACTCCGTGCTACTACTCAGATTTTTAAAAACCCAGGATTAATTTTCCCACCCCGGAATCGGACCCCCTTGCCCGGGGTCGCATTTGCGACCACTTGATCAACGATACCATATTATGTAGGTAATAATAATTTGTGTATTACGTAAATAGATTTCCGAGCGAGATGTGAATCCCTCGTTTAAAATGATAAGATGTTTATACAGAAATAATAGCAGTTACATTTATGTATAGGTACAAAATCCATTATATTCAAAGCCCACCACTAACAAACCAAGCAGCGTACGGGAGTCGATTCCCGGCGGCGGTTCATGTTCCCAGTGTGATTGATTTCTATTCAGTAACGGTCCATGTATTTGATGTTCTCCACAAATCCCTCAGTTATGGCCTCCCTTTGTAATTAACTTGTCGTCTGTCGGACCACCACCGTGTACGGAATCAAATCGACGACAAACTGAGCGTGTAACATAGCTACAGGTCTACTTGTTGATGAATGGTGGGCTTGTGTAGTGAATGTAAGTAAAACGAAGCTGGGACGTACCAAAAAGTAACAAGCAACCCTTTACACGACTAATTGAATCCAAAAACCAAATTACCATCAGAATATAACAATGAAAATTGTTACAAATGAAGCAAAATACACGCTCGTAATAATGAGCTGCCGATCCATTTCCAATTACCCCTGGATCAACAGCGGCAGCGGGCACATTTCAATATGTGCACAAATATCTGGCGCAGAAAGCGTTTCAATTACCTATCAAAACTGAGCGCCTGGTACCTCCGCGGGCTCTTTCTAATTACAAAGGCCGGTTTATTATAACAATGTGGAGTTTTAAGAAGATTGGAATACTCTATTGATAGTAGAGATACGTTTTATTACTTCGGAAATTAGGAACATCGAGCAATTTTCATCATAAACTTAATGGTAATTGGTAATTGCTATATTGATATTATATTGTTTAACGATTACGAATCAAATGAAGACCGCATTCTAATTAGTGCTCCACAAACAAACCAACAAGTGCTGCGCTCGCAGTACATCGCCGCGGGATTACAACCACATCCGTAAATGAACGATGAATAAACTGAACACGAAAGAAACATTCCGGTACACACGACACTGGCTGTAACGGCTACAACTTGTATAATTTTGACTTAGTTCTTAATTGCTCTGTCTGAATGCTAACAACGTATGAAGGAACGATAGAACAATAAAAAAACATCGTTCCACGTCTGTATACTCGCACGAAAGAGTGTAATTTAATATTAGAACATTCAAGTTAAATTGGACTTTATGCTACCGAAATAAGGGCGTTACGTGGTGTATTAGATTATTTTTTGTAACAGTCTCGCCAGTTAAGTAATATAATATCCGAGTGACGTTTTCCATTTGTATGCAAATGCAGGCGGCGAGGAGGCGACGAGCGCGCGGCGACGACGCTGCGACAACGACGCGAAATGGATACGTCTTAAGTAATGGCTTTATTAAAATTGTTCTTATTCATATTTGTTTGTTTTGTGAGCACCACGCCGGGTCTCAGGTTCTAGTTTGTAGAACATCATTTTCTATTGCGATACAAGAATATGGTTCGATTGTTTCTCAAAAAGTGTTTAGTATTCTAACGAAGTAAAACTTTTATTTTACTACATAAATATATTTACTTAAATACCTATAGTTTGGTACCTTCTCAATGTAGCCATTACCTTCAAACTTTGCCTCCTCAAATCAATAAACCTGACAAAAAGAAATATCCTTGGTAGACATAATATAGCACAAATATGATAGTAGATGGAGGTGCAGCGTGAATTGAATCCCGCGCCCCGCGCGCTGCGAGTAAACAAGAATTGATCGCGTCATTTATAACGCGCGATTTAGATAGCCGAGCGACGCGCGACCATTACTCAATGCGTAGTACATACACACGCCGTAATACAACTCCAAGAAATACTGTGAGGTCCTTCTGGATTCTTTTATATTTTTTGGAGTTCTGGGAGAGGAAAAGGAATCGTATTGACGTGAATTAAACGTAAAATATTGTTGATTTTATAACTGATTTATTTTCTAGGATGTCTATGTAAGATCAAACTCTGTATTATTTTAAATATTTACTGAATAGTGCTACAAGTGATACAAGAAAATATTGTAATCTAAATATGACTGTGCAGTTAAACTACTGCGTACAATGTTCTAGTGTACATCTCCTTAGCAGGCCGTCAAACGTCTTCCCTCAATTGTTTTTTTTTCATTCGTCTATAGTGTCGTGTGATGTGCTGCGATCTCAGGCTGATCGCTTGGTGACGTCACTTTTTGCGCGTCGTTCACTGGCCGCGGTTTTTCAGCTGGACTCTGAAATAAATGATGTGATTTGAAGCGATTTCTGCGGTGTCACGATAAATCGAACGACAGTCTTTAGACGTCGACTTTCAAGTGAATATCATAAAAAATGTTTTACGATAATGAACCTTGCGGCTCACTTCTTTGGCTAAAATTGGCTAATCGCCAAGTGGGAGGATGTAAGGAATTTCGAACTAATGTCAGGACAAAAGTTAGTGTTTGTAATTAAAAGTACCGACTGGAATGCGGCCAGACAACTCCTTGTATGTACAACATGAATTAGTTACTTTATTTTAATTGGAATACAATAAAACAAATACTTCAATTGCGATTCACTACCTCTTCCACAACACCTCAAGTACCAAAATGAAGCAGGAGAGTACTGCGAAGGATGCCAGCATTAGAAAAGCTGGGGCCGCCTGTCCCAGCGCCAGTGCTCGCGGCTGGGCGCCCGAGCAGGCAGGCATAGTGCCAGCAAACCGGGCACGAATCGCTTTCACATGCCCACGCTCCAACAGACGAAGAAGACTGGAAACACGCATGTTTGTGGAAACTAAAAGCAATCCTCAATAATTTGTATAATGTTTATTTAATCATAAATAAACATTATACAAATTAATGTTTATTTATGATTGATAGATGTCCGAAAAACCGAATAATACTAGTGGTATCAGTAGTCTGACTTGTAAGCTACCGGAGCACGCCTACTTGTAACTGTTTGAATTCCCAAAACGTTTTTAAATGTCGAAAATTATAGCGCGGTAAACAGTCTTCTAAAGATGATTGTAATTATGTCATTAGTGCCCATCTCTGTTGGTTAAACTAAATCCTACTTACAACTTAATATGAAATAACCAGATCCAATTTATACGTGCGTATTAACGTGGCAGTAGGAAAGTAGTCGGTAGCTACACCCTTGTTATCCCCACGTAATCCCCGAGAGGTTCGACAGAAGGTATTGTTATTTACCCCTCAGTGGTGATGCCATTGTCGCAACAATGTCGCTTCACCTGCCGATTGATTCGGATCAATTCATCAACAAACAAATGTTCTTCAATACACACGGTGAAAGAATGGGTAATCTTGAAATCTATACTGGTGGTACAAAGGCTAAAGAGTTAGTTTGACTAAAAACTGTACTCTCTGAAATGCAAGGTTAAAGTGATCTAAAAGTCTGCTATCACTTTCAACGTTTTATAATCCATGTTCAATATTAATTTATCGTAACAGGCCACCATATTAAATTTTCAACAGTTCACAAAATTAACATTACCTGACGTTGATCGTCGCAATTATGCGATATTATTTGTGTCAGATAATGCAACTCAAAATTGATTATGTATTCATTTGTAATCGCAGTATACAACACGCCCTATTCTGTAAGTGGTTGTGTAATTTAAATTATTAGCTATATCAAAGTCATCCACAAACCAGGTGCGCAGAAAACATTTGAAATAGTGTCTAGTGATACCTCCAATCGAAGAATTCTTTATAAGGACTCTTCTTCTGGGCCATGATGTACACGTGAGCTGGTAGCATCATCTGCAGGGCTCCGAGGTTGCACAACTCCTTATCCTCATACGTTTTGGATATCACCTGACTTGCAGTGTACGGTTCCGTGTGGAAAGCATATTCTGGAATAATTTCAAACGAGGTTAAGGTTGAGGTTGAGTGACTGACTGATTGACTCCACCAATTTACAGTTGTAAAGTACACATCTTTTTGGAAATTTACAATTATTGATATTTGTGAATAAACCACCTTCATTCTAAGACTTTTAGTTATTGTAGCAAATAGGAGAACTATTCAGGTTATTCAAGAAAATATATATCAAAAAGAATCACCCCCTATTACATGGGGCTCATACCATAAAATAGTGAAAAGTGGGCGTTACATTGCATGTACAGTTGCATAAAGTGCCGTAAAGTGGACCTCTGCCTACCCCATCGGGAGTTAAAGGCATGATTTTATGTTGTATACTAGAAATAAATCAGAAATATTTGAAAGAAAATAAGAAATTGAGTTTCCCACATACTGCCAGTCCGTAACAGTTCAACGCCCTTGTTCACATTCTGCAACACTGGAACAGTACGCTTCGCTTTTGTTACTTTCTTGTCTCTCAACTCATCTTCTTTAACATTCTTGAAGCCGCTGTAGTAGAAGAAACCTGGATTCTGAAAATCGATATAAATATAAAAGTTCAGTGGTTCTAACTCATATTACTTATACGATAGTTTCAATTTTTGTTACTTAATTACACCAAAACGATATTGGACGATAGCTATTGTCAAGGAGAAAATTATTACTAAAGTCTAGATCCACAAAAGCTCCACTCCTTTTTTGTTCTATTTGATTTCGATATTTTGTTCTCGGAAAATTGTTTTAACTCTAGGAAAAACAATATACTAATAGTTACTTACATCAAGCCATCCTCTAGTATATCCAATATCTTCAAACACCAGTTCAAAGTCGCTATTAATGAGGCCGTCGAGGTTGGCGATGGAAGGTGCAGCAGCGTTCAGCAGCCAGGACACCACGCTGCTGGTGTAGTAGTTGTACAGCAGCATGCTCGTCAGTCCGATCACTAGCAGGGTTAGTCTACGACCTGCGGGAAGTAGGTTTTGTTAGTTCATTACTAAGTAAGGGCAGATTCATTATATATTTCAAGTTCCTGCATTGAGTAGTTTGTCAATACATAGCCGACTTATTTACGTTTTTGTTCTACTATACAGA